GAGTCCGGAGAAGAAAAGGTAATAAATTCACTGAAATTCTGTTGCTTATTTGGATAATTAATTAACGCAAGGATATTAGACCTAAAGCGGTGACTGTTGACGACTATTCGTCACTATTCGCCACTTTTCGAGACTATTCGCGCTATTCGGGACTATTCGCTATTCGCTCTTCGCGACTATTCGCTATTCGCTATTCGCTATTCGCTATTCGCTATTCGGGTTTTCCAGACACCCATCTTCCCAGTCCTCGCCCTGTTTATGCTCGCAGGCTACACAGGACAGCAGAAAGCAGACGTTGCAGTCGATGCGCAACTGCATTTTACGCATTTTACAACGTTGATTACGTATTGACCCTTGCAACTTCCGTGCAAACAAATACTGACGAGTCTTTGAAAACCGAACATTGTACTCTATAGAGCGTGAATGCAACGCGGAAAAATCAGACGATACATGTAACGTTTGTTTTGCACTTTCAATGTTGTGACTATCCGTTTAATAATTTGAATTAATCATGTTTTATTTATTTTTTACGAAAAGTTGTTATGGTGAGTTTACTTCTTCACTTAATTTGCATTCATAACTATTGTGTCATTATAAATCAAAAGCCATGGTTTTTCCCTTAGCAGCTGTCTTTTAAGTGGAAATTGAAATGTTTCCAAGGTGCGTTATTAGGCGTGCGGCAACTGGAAGTTTTCATTCGACGGCAGCGTTTCCTGGGAAGCAGGTAAGTCTCTTTAAGTCTTAATGATCGAAGACGAAAGAATTATCCTGGGAAGAATTATGACTAATTTTTTCAGCTTGTGGCAGTAATGAAACAACTCATTGTCTATGGAACACGTTTCCATTCTTTCACTTGCAAATTAGTTGCCGTGAATAATTTGGTGGTCGCAACACACAAAGGAATAAACGTAGATTTATTTTTTTCGGTCAGCTTCAGGCGAAGGAGGCCCGAACTCTTGAATCAGATCCTAAAGGATTGGAACCATCGTCGCATTGCCGGATAGGGCTTCAAGAATTTGGTATGCAGAAAAAAATGCTTATTGAATTAAATCTTCATAACTTAATTCTTCTCTCGTGACGCACGGTTTGCTGGCCAGAGCTCGCGGTTTTGTTATCTGGTTCGAAACTGACCGGTTAAACCGCGAAAAAATTATCTTGGGGAGTGCAAATGTACTCTGATCATGGACCGACCTCTCCATCTGTGATTCCGCTTTGTTTATCAATTACGCATGGGTAGTTTTGTGTGTTACGTACTTCTGGTTTTACAGAATTTGAGTTGTTCAAGTGAAGTTGCCGAAGTTGTTCGATCTCATGTTAACTTTTCTAACCGTCTATTTTCTTCTCAATGCAGACTGAAGTTCTCGTGGGAAACATTGCACTCGATTTTTAGTTAACCAAAGATCTCACAGATAGTCATCGTTTTCCGTGCGTTGATGTCGTTTGCAACTCCGGAAGACTTGGAAAAATATCACGTTCGGCATGTCTACAATCAAATTGCTCCTCATTTCGTTGGTTCGACTCATAAAGCGTGGCCAAAAGTCGAAGAATTTCTTCTCTCTCTCCCAGCGGGAAGTCTGATAGCTGATGTGGGTGAGTTTTACAAATATTTTGCTAATCTTTTCCTCTAAAGAGAACCGAGAAGAAGAAATATTGAACACAAAGAAGCTCTGGATGCAAGGTTTAAGGCTTTTGTTAGAAAGGATCGTTGATTTCTAACAAAAGCTACTTCTTTGATAAGATTTCGATTTTTGATCAGATCGAAAGACTAGTGAAACGAGAACCGAGAGACTGCGGATAAATACAAATACAGCTGGGATCCAAATATTGATAAACATTTTGTTAATGTTCATATTAATCATTTTCAGTTCCACGTACTCTTAAGAAATTAATTTGCATTTTAATATTGATCGTGTTCCACGTTTTTATGATTAATGATGAACATAAGGATAGAATATTTTTGCTTAATTCAATTACGGCAGATTACTGCCAATTTGTGCAGTGCTTTGCACAGAATTCTGCTTGGAAGGAGAAAGACTGCCAGACAAGTCGCGTTGTTGTGGGAAAATATCATGTTATATATTTAGGTTTTGGTTTGAATCCTCCACCCCTCTGGAAATTTCATAGTTTAGTTTGGCTAGAGCTCCCTCTCCGAGTTTCCAATAGCCTTGGAGAACTACCAAGGAATGTTTTTTAGAAATTATTATGTAATCAGTTGACGAACAAGTTACTCTCTGTGGCCACCACATTCTACCTCAGAGAGATCAAATTTTACACTATCGAAGATTAAAATTCACTTAAGGGAATTTTTTAGAATGTGTTGTTTCCAGAAAATATCCATACCCTCTCTATCCTAGGAAGGTCTTTTGAACCCCACCACCCTTCCTAAATTCAAGGTTAGTTTCATGTATATACTTTTCTTGAATAATGCTTTTGGTGTTTTAAAACCCTGAACCCCTTGTATTGATCATCTTCCATGGGGTCAGGGTATGAATAGCACAATTCATCCCTGGGGGGGAGGGACTCCTATATAAAAAGGACAGGGGTGGGCTTGTCGTACCTTTTAGGGGTTAGCAAGGCAGTTTTGGTACCTCTTTTGGTGTTCAGCCTCAAAAGGTCCACAGCAGGAGCTTTTGTGGTACCTTTTAGGGTGTTGAGCTGAAAAAAATACGACGGGAGATAATATGATGTTTCAGAATTGGTACCTCTTAGGGGGGAAAAAATTTCAAGCCACACCCACAAAACAGGATCTTGGTACCTCTTAGCGGTTCTTTTTCCGACGAGCACCTCCGTCAGTGCTACAGACCTGTTCCGTAGACTTAACCGGAAAAACCTATGGAATCAGAGGCTTTTTACCAGAGCCATTATGATGTTCAAAGCTTTAAGAAACACCTGATTATTTATCAAATAATTCATCTTTCATAATGATACAACTGGTTATAGATTAGGAAATAGCGAAATGAGGCTGGCACCTTCTCAACGACGCACCGATTATGTTTGTAACAGTTTCTCTCATAGCGGTGCCGCATTGTGGAATAGCCTTCCAACTGATTTTAGAGTATCTAAAACATTAGGTGTATTTGAGACAAAGCTAAGTAACTTCAGTGTTGAGTGAATGAATGACACGACATCCCTGAAAAGTGGTAAGAACTTTTAATTTCATTTGTTTCTATTGAAATAGGTAGCTAGCTCAGTTTGTTAAGATTAGGTCAGTTTGTTTAGATTAGGCTTATATTCTTTGTAATTACTTTTATAATGATTATATTGTTTAATTTTTACATTTGTAGATATTTTTGCGTGTATACAACTGAGTCGAATTTACTGTGTAAAAATAAAGTGATCTATCTATCTATTTATCCTTTTTATTTGGGAGTCCCCCCCCCCCCCCCCCCCCCCCCC